GGTTGGACTAGATGACCCACAGAGGTCCCTTCCAACCCCGAACATTCTGTGATTCTGTGACTCTCCTATCAGCATATTCCTCATAAGCTATTTTCAGGCAGATCGAATAGTGTTAGTAACTTCGGGTAAAGCAAATTTGAGAATCAAATTTTAAGAATTTGACTAACAATTACTTTTCTAAGCAGAAATGCAGAATACTTGTATCCTCACATTCAAGGTTGTTATCCCTTGAAAACATTTTTATATCCAAGCAATATGCAGTACTCAGGCAGACAGTAAAATTAACCACCTACATCCAAGTTCAAGTTTACCTTGTTTTTACTACTATGTGGTAATCTTCCAGGATGGGATACAGCTGGGGCTTCAGCTGTTCCACTGCACACTTTTGACATCTCTGTGGTCAGAAAAGTGTCAGTTAAACTGTTTCCCTAGCTCTATTAAACTGAACAGCTAAACAAACTAGAATAAATTAAGAAAGACCAACTTTGGTAAACTTTAGTCAAAGACTAAGGTGCCCCAGATTTTCTCTGAATTATCTTCACGTTGTTCAAGACACACTTAACTTGAAATATTTCTAGATCATGTTCAATTTGGACCGAGTGCACATCATTTTGGATGAAATGGTGCTGAACGGCTGCATCGTGGAAACCAACAGAAACAGAATTCTTGCCCCTCTGCTTGTGCTTGACAAAGTGGCAGAAAGCTAGGAAGATGCAAGGCTGACTGCAGCATTTTCCAGCAGATGGCAAAACCATCCAGAGCGTACCAACAGCACTCTCCCGGTGTCCTAAGACTGACCCATGCAATACTCAGATTAGTTGGAAAATATTTCATGTTTCTCCTACACCCTATGTACCTAATGGTAAGACATGGCTAACCATGCAGTGGAACCTTCAATTTCAGATGCAGCTTTATTGACACGGCAGAAACCTTTCTAGAACAGTCAACATTTTTTTAAATTAACTGGTGATAAAGGAATGAAAACTTACACATGCCCATCTAGGTGTCACTCTGAATGACGTGGCATTGTGCCAGACCTAGGAGAAAACAGAAAAGATGGAGGTATAAATTCAAACTGAGTTTCAATGTTTCCTTTAAGCACCAACTTGATTTTTAAAATTTTTGTACAGATGTACTGTAAATTAAAGTTCTTTTATGACCACTTATAAACTACATTCAGCTTTCATAAAAAACCTGGTTTCACTCCCTTTTCCATGTGAGTCATGGTTACAAAAGAAATGCAAATGATGGCAGTATAGATGTATTTAGTGTTCCTGCATACTGTGTAAGTTGTAACTAGAAGTATTTGGCACTTCAATATTATAACATTAATAAAAGATAATTAAAAGTTTGATGATCTCTTATCATGCTGGCTTCATAAATTACAGAGAATCTTTTCTAATTTGGCCCACCAGTGTATTTTTCTCCTGTATATTCTATCCATGCATCATGATTAAAACATTTACAGAAGATGAGTAACAAGAGATAGGCAAGTTTCTCAGTAGCACCTAGGTACCAAATCAAGTCTCCCTTCTGGGGCAGGAGGATGTAGCTACCCACGCTAACTTGTAGTCCCAGGCATGCAACGTGCCGATTCACGCCGCTGTACTGCAAGTCGCCCATGAGTCAGCAGCCTGAGCTTACTTTCACCTACCTGTCTAGAATCAAGGTACCTGGCAGCCCCTCCATGGCTGCCACAGCAGTGCTGGGCATCGCTTGGCACCGAAGGAGCACGTCCGCTGTGTGAGCATTATGTGTGAAGGCACACAACGGTCACATCTACGTGGCGCCTAGAAGCCAGGGTCTGAGGAGCAGAATGCAGCGTTGGGTGGGAGAGCAGCCCACGTAGCCTCACAATAATCACACGCTCTGCAAAACAAGCTGACAGTGGATCTGGAGCAGATGTTTGTACACCAGGTTTATGCAACTGTTTGGTTGAAGCACCGCAGTCACAGGAGCAGGGGTAGTGGAGACTCCCCTTCAGTTTTGCATGGGGGAAAATTTCAAAGACAACACCTGTAAAGTCCTAGGGATAATGCTATGACAAGAAATCCAGTATGAATCCGACTGGTACATGTGAGGCAGACTTCTGGCAAGCCCTCCCTCGGCAGTGCTCCGAGCAAAGGCTGTTGCCAAAGAACTGGCACAGAACAAAACTTACCACACAGATTCAACTACAACAATACTTTTTTTCTTTTCTGGTATCAAGTACTCAATTATCTTCAAAGACCTATTAGCATCTCGCTTTATCTTACTGGAAGCCCCTTTTTACCTGTAGATACCTCAGCAGATGCTGAAGCGCAGGGCAGGCCAGCTGCATCATCTGACCCAGCGTTCATTCCAGTGTCCTGAAGAGCTGTAACCTCCAGTCGCACGGGCCCCCTGAAGAGCGCCCACACCTGCCCCACGCAGTGTTCTCGCTGCCAGACCAGGTCTTAAAAAGTTGCAGTGTAATTCTGTAAACGAGTTTGTGAGATGAATTATTGCCATGTACTTCTTTCAGACCTTGAAAGAAATATGGCACATGGTTCAGCACACGTACAGAGATTCAATAATGTAAGAAGTATTAAAGAAGTAGTCAGAGGAGACGGTTTGATATGTTGCAAACATTTTAATGATTACTTTTCAGCTTACACATTGGGTGGATTTTTTAAACTTCAAACTGCAACAAGTTAAATAAATGTTTATAATATACAAAGAAAATACAACCAAAAGTAAAACTTGCTTGAAGTGTGCCTTGCACTAGGAACCAGTGTTTTTTAATAGCTTTATTGTTGAGCTGCACAAACACACTTAAGGATTTGATCTTTATAGCAGGGCATTTGAGAAATCAAAATATATTCCCACTTGAAAGAGAAAAAAAAAGGTTGTGCATGATTATATGCAAAACCCCACTAAAATACTCCAATAGTGCAGGCATCATTAAAAAAGAAAAAGCTGGAGATGCCCATTAACTCTAAGTTTTCAGGAAGCAAGTTTCTGACCAGTTAGCTTAAAGCCAGCAAAACAGGGATCAGTGATGGCAACTGTAGTGTACAAGGTATTAAATGACAAACTTTCCACAAATACACTGTTAGAAATTTGTATCGGTGAACACCAAAAATCTGATGATCTGTTCTTTGGAACAGTCAAACAGAACCACCTTAATTTCCAGTTGTGCAAGCCCCTGAAGCATCACACAGTGTTCCGTGCCAATTTTTTGCTGGCTGTGTAGTTGCAGGGATTTATTTTGTCATTAGCAGCTAACAAACTTATTCCACATGTTCCTAAAGCCTCACAGGTGAAAAAAAAGGCAAGTCTCATCAGAGCACAGCGTGGAGATCGTAATTTTTTGCACACAAACACAAGAGGCTTCGCTAGTATCAAAACCCACTGCCTGACGTCCCACACTGCGGCCAGCGGCTCAGTTGAGATGGAAGCCTTTCTCCATCGTCGCAGCTAGCAGCCGCTCTCTCATGATCTCCTCAGAAGAGTACTCGGGCAGCTTTAGGTAATGCACACATGTATTCACAGATGGGTAACTCGCATCTGTAGCATCAACCTGAGGAAAAGAACGAACGATTTTGACTGCAGTTCTTCACAGGACTCAATACGGAAGTTAGAAGTTGTAAGCTCCTCAAATTCAGGGCATTAACTGCATTCTAACACCACTTGTCAACAAACAGTAGCATCAGGAAAGCTACAGACCAGCTTATATTTACTGTACATATACATTAATTCTTATTATATTCAAATATGAAGTCAGAGAACAGACCTGAACCAGAGATAAGTACTGAAAGCTTAGCATAGTGTCATATGTTAAAAACAAAAAAAAAAAAAAAAAGGGGGGGGGGGAAAAAAACCCAAAAAATCTGCATGTTTTATTTCTTCGTGTGGCAACGATTACGTTCAGAAGCCAGAGGGGCTGGTTCGAAGGGCAACCCGAGGCAGCCCTACCTTGCGTACAACAGTGAGCCGGGGATGTAGGTTTGCCAGTCCTCCCGGTGGGAGTGTTGAACAACCAGTGGTGAACTGGAGAAAAGCCTTCCTTTCATCCGAAGACATACCACACAAGACTCTCACAAATCGAAGGAACCCAGGGCTTAAAATAAATTAGAAAAAGTAGTTATGAAAACATTACAAGAGAGGGTTTTTTTAATTGCTCTCGAGACAGTACAACTGCAATCTTTAGTCACGTCTAAGCAGTCACCGTAAAATTCTAGTGCCTGTTCAGTATCGAGTTAAGAATAAAACATCATAAAACCCATAAAAATAATTCTTTAATCACCTTGCTGTGTATTACACAGAAAAATGTACGTGAGAACTTTTCTCCATACTTACCTGGAAGCATTATTTGGGTATCTTGCATATGAACGAGTAGAGAAGTGGATGGAGCTCAAACCTATTCTATGAGAAGAATCCAACTGCCTACTTCTGCAGTAGAAAGCCATTTCAATTTATGTATGGTTTCACTTCTATCCTGTTCAAGACCCTCATGTAAAAAAATAGGAGAAATATAACAGACTACAACAGATCTTTATGGAATCCTCCAGATACAGCTGCTTTCCTCCACACCAGTCCAGGGACCAGGGGGAGCAGAGGGCAGGAAGAACATGCAGCCTGCTGAAAAGGGCCCACGGACAACGGGCGCTGCAGTCTCGACTGCATCTTCGCGTGCAGGGCAGGGTCAACAGAAGAATTGCTCCATACAGAACCTCAGGCCCATCAGGCTCCTGCAGCATGCTTACACTAACGCAGTTCCAGAAGTAAGCTGTATGTTGTTGCTACCAAACGTGACAGGCAGCAAAAACCCCACACCCAACAAACCCCAAAACGTTGCAACCACCTCCTGATAGCAAATCACCCGCGTATTTGTTCCCTGCATAGTACATTTTCTTTTTGAACTAGACTTGAAGAGAAAGAATTAAGAAACCGGGGACAAGTAACAACTATACCCAACTGAACAAAAATTATAACCACCGCCACAGATGAAAGTAACAACTCTAAAATGCTATTTTTAATAGCCTGTATTAGTAAGCTGCCATTACATTTCCACTAGTTGTTCATGTTTTAGTATTTTACATTTTTTTATCCCCTCTCACCACAAAAACACCAATTACCTTCTAACCTATCTGTGCTAACACACATGGTTATTTCATGCAGTTTTAGATAATCACTTGCTCTTCAGCGACCACCAATCCCATCCAATTTGTGTCTTCATCTAATGAATATTCTGGACATTTTATCACTTAATGTATCTTTTAGCTACTATTTTCAAATCACTTGGAGTATAAGTACCTGTCTCGTGTATATCCCAGCTTAGGTTCAGTATAATTGATGATATCCTCAGCTGCCCAAGAAGGCGATTGATTTCCACAAAGAATCATCTGAACTTCTTCATGGCTGAAGGAACTCAGCTTCTCCATTGGGAAGACTCTGTTGAAGCCGTCTTTAATTTACACAAGATACAGTTATAAATATAGACGTCAAAAGAATGTTTATAAAATAACATCAGCATTTCAATTCTATTTTAATCAAACCAGAATCAATCAACAGTTTCTTAATTAAGGTAAATGGAACCTCTTCAAGATTCAAAATGGCATAACTAATGCAAAGGTGCTATGAAACGAGTATCTTGCCTACTGCAATCTTAAAGTTTGTTTTTGAAAGCCATTCTATGCCATCGCTTTAAACCAGCACACCCTGAACACGAATTAGTCCACCTAAC